AAGACACAGACAACTGTTTTTCGCTTTTCCCATTGTCATTCAGCTTGTCTCCAGAATCAGCAGCACTAGGTACAGGTGATCACTCACCTGACTTAGGAATACTGCTCTCTGATCTTCCTATAAATCTGGCCCCTTCCTCCACCTACTAGCTGGTTTCTCTTTAGCTTGCTCACCTACAAATATAGGAGTGTCTCAGGGCCTTTTATTTTTTTTTCAAAATCTACTTTCACTAGATGATCTCATTTGCTCCCATGGTTTTCTTTCAGTATCACCCATACATTAACAATACCAACATTTATATCTCCAGGCTGGATCTCTGCTCTGAACTCTATATTCAGTTGCATTCTTGAGACACATATCATAGGTTGCGTCTGTTATAGGATATGCCTATTAATTGGATATGCATTAATAGGTAACTCTAGCCCAACAAGGCTAGGACCAAACTCCTGATTCATAACCTCCTCTGCTACAACCCAGACCTACTGCTCCCATAGTCTTCCTCATTGTGGAAAATGGCTGTTCCAACCAAAAGCTGCTCAAATGGAAAAACAATGAAGCCATCAATTCTTCTCTTTTCCTCATGCCCCATATCCAATTCACCAAGAAATCCTGTGAGTTCTACATCCCCAAATCATACTATTTCTTACCACCTCTACCACTACCATCACAGTTCAAGCCACCATCATCTCTCACCTGGATTACTGTGATAGCCGGTAACAGGCTACAATTGTTTTTCAACACATAGGCAAAGTGATTCCTTTAAATGGAAATCAGATCATGTCGCTCCTCTCTTCCACACCATCCAATGGCTTTCCTTCTCACCTGAGAACAAGTCAAAATGCCTCCAGTCCTCTATAAGGCCCCACACGATTGGCCTCAACCTCTTTCAGACATCATCTCTTTCCACCAACTTCACTCACTCTGCTCTAGCCAAAATGGCCTTGTTGTTTGAAGAATATGCCACTCCTGCTTAAGGCCTTTGCTCTGTTGTCTCTCTGCTTGGAAAGCACTTCCTCCAGACATATAGAAGTTTGCTTTCTCATTTCTTTCCTTTTCTGATGATCAGCAAAGTCAACTTAAATATTAAATAGTAACCACCATTGCCTACCTCTTTAGCAGTCCACCCACTGTCCTAATTCCCCTGATTCTTATATCCTCCAAGGCATATATCAACATCTCACATATTTTGGCCTTCCTTGTTTGTTTTTTAGAATGCAAAACAAAGAGGACAGGAAATTTGTTCCTTGCTGTATCTCCAGCATCAAGAAAGTTCTAGGCACATAGGAAGCAATTTTTGTCAAACTATTAAATAAATGAAACAAATAGCTCTAAAACTTGAGTCTTTTTGACTTACTATTTGAATGGTTCTCTACAGGACCACCTAGGATTTATACAAGTTCATATATTTGTTTAATTTTCAGCAACACTGTCATCTCAGTATATTTACCACTAAGAGTAGAAGACTGACACAGCCACTGTAACTATGGGTAAAAATATCTTTGTTTACTGAAGTGTTTCAGTACCTAATGTGTTTACTTGGGTAAACAGACAGAATACAGCATGGGAAAATGCCAGATGCTTTTAGTTGATCTCCTTGAGGCTGACCAGCTGTGGGTGGTTATAAAATACAGACAGATATTTAAAATTGCCTGGGTGCTACTTGGGTGTGTTGGCACTGGGCTGGGCTTAGTTGATGGCCCCTGAATTTCTATGAGGAGTGCTACTCTGGTTGTGAAGAAAATGTGGATTTTTAAGCCTAATTGATATACTTATTTATGTAAGAACATGTGAAAAATGTCAATAGCCCATTCTCATGGGATTGAAGAGTAGTAAAGCCTGCTGGCCGGGGTTTGGGGCAGGGGAGGAAGGAACCAAAGCTTCCTCTGAGAGGCATAAACATATGGAATTTAGTCCGACTAAATGCCTGCATGATCTCAAAGTAGTCATGAAATTTCTTTGGGCCTCAGTTTCATTCTCAGTGAAGTGAGGAACTTTGAATACATTATTGATAAGGTCCGTCCCAACCCTGCCTTCAGGTGGTACCTGAAAAGCCTCAGAGTCAGACTCTCAGATGTAACTTCCATGTAAATTGGCAATCTCTCTGAGGTCCAGTCTCTTTTTCTGTAAAATGAAGAGGTTTGGCTAAAACAGACTCAAAGATTTTCCCCCAATTTAACATTCCTTGCTTCTATTGTGCTTTTGGAATTTTCCCCTTACTTTGGTGAAATTAAATGTCCTTTTTTTTTTCTTTTTGCTTGAATTTTTTTCTTTCTTTTTTGATTTATTTAAGGTTGTCTCTCTCTCTCAAACACACACACACACATATACACACACACACAGTGTGAAGCTATGTCACATCCTTTCGTAGATGTAGTGTGTGTATTTTGCTGTTGGTGAACATTAACTCTACCTTGAGTCAGTGTGTGGAGCAGAGATGTAATCCTGTGGTTTGTTTTGTGCTCTAAACTTGACAATGAGAGGACAGGAAATGTTCTGATTTTTAGTGATGAAAAATGCTGAAGTCTGTCTTTAGCCTCAATTCTGGTCAATTCGCACTGGAAAACTGCAGTATTTTTAAACTATGTATTTCCTCTTCTCTTACTTCCCATTCCTTTGGCTGGTTTTAGGGTATTTGGTGAATGACTCTGGCCCAGAAGCAGTCAGCTGAACTACTCAAAGCTGGTCACACCTGTGTCTTACCTTTGTGCCTCAGTTTCTACAGGTGCAGGGAGATGGAGGAAATAGAATCTGCTCCATCCTTTTAGCACTATGTTTGAGATTTCCTGATATAAGCCTCTGCAAAAGGGACTGAATGTTAATGTTTAGCAAATGTGTGTTGGGGCAGGGCTCTGGAAAGATGCTTATCATGTCTGCAATCCTTTCTAACAAACTTTTATAGGTGGAAGCTCTTTCTTTGAGAAGAATGATTGGACTGGAAAAATGATGGAATGGCTCATTAATTATGGGTTTGAATCTGATTTTTGACCAACTTAACATCATTCTCACTTTACAAAGCAGGGCTCTACATTCAACTCGACAGACATGTATATAAAGCAACTGCTGTGGGTCGACACCTCCTCCATAGGCCTTTCACATCCACTGCTCTGTTTCATTCTCACATCAACCCTGTGAGGTAGCTGTTCATATTTTCCACCTATGTCTGAAGAAATGGAGGCTCAGAAATGCTGTGAGACAGGCCCAAAGTCACACAGAGTAAAGCTGGGATATTCTGCCTCCGGCTCCTTTGCTCACTCCCCAGTGTGGTTGTACACTATAGTGGGTACATGGGGGAAAAGATCCGAATTTTTTTTAAATCACATTTTTTATCATCACCTGTGCACCTTCAACTTATAAAATGTCATATGTCAGTTATATCTCAATAAAGCTAGGTAAAATTATTACATTTATGTGAGTATACATTGACTCTATATATGCAGGTGCAATCTGACTTTTTATCCAGAGCATAAATCATCTGCTGCCACAACTGAAAGTGTGAGAAATCAAAATAGTGGAAACTTTCCAATCGCTAGGAATGGTTTTGTGGTTTTCCTTTTTGTGGAGTGGCTCATGGAAGTCTCAGAGTAATCGGGAAATAAGCATTACTGTAGGAGGGTTGACTGTGACTTGTAAAGAGCACTACGCCTCACCCTCCCCTGCTATGACCAGTGACCCTTAGGCTTCTTTTTAATACTGGTTAAAGCTCATTTAGAAGAACTAACATTCCCCTGTGTGTCGTTTGGGGCTACTTGGCTCACTGAGATGCCCCTCCAAAGTGGTGAGGGCCTACTAATGTTCTCTGAATGGTCCAGTTTTGTGAGGTTTATCTATTCTTGTTTGCTTTGAGATATTAGGGAAGGCTGGGGTTGATGTTCAAGTAATTCTATTTTATTTCAGAATATCCTCCAAAACAGTGGGTGGAGATGTGGATCCAGTTCCTTTGAGGAACTCAGAATCAGGGAGCCCTTTTACACATGGAATGATTCTTTGGTGTTTAAGCATTTGTAAGCAAAAGTGCTCCTTTAGAGAGGTTTTAAATAGATAGAAAACTGCTCTATGTTTGCATGTATATAACTGGTATCTACTTTTTTGTTATCTGAATATTAAATCCTTTAACTATAAAAAAAAAATGCTCCTTTAATCACCCTGTTTTACTTGCCCAAGGTGGTCTCTCCCTTTCTCACATTTCTCACATTCTGTCTCTTTTCACAGACATGGCTGAAATCCCACCCTTGTTGGGTGTCTGTCCCCCACTCCCATCAGAGGTGATATGTCCTTTCTCAAACTCCCAGAGCTACCCCTTGCAGTAGTCAGCTTATTGATCTTGGAGCTTGGACACCTCTTCCATTGATATATGGAACAAGGATCTAGATATTTTATTGTTCAACTTTGCATGAGTTTATATTTTATCTCTTTCACTAGAAAAGATTATACACTCGTTTGGAGTAAAAAGACTAATTTCTTAGATGACTCAAGGTCTTGAACATATCTGGTGCTTATTTCTATTAGATTTGATTAACTTGCCAATGAGAAAAATGGATAAGAGGCATGAATTCTACCCCCAGGAAATAGATTTACTTTGCTTTCCTAGTAATTGCTTCTTTCCTGTATTTCCCCCCGAAAGAAGTTAGCTGTAAATTAGGTCTCTGCTGTTCCAGTGTAGACCACAGTAATATATGCCCTTTTGTGTGTGTCTGGCTTGAGATTTTTTCAGGGAGAAGAAATCAAGCTGCGGAGGAACAAAGAAGAATGTGTTTTGAAAGTCTTAAAGGAAGTGGTCAAAAGAGGCAGTATTTCAGGGTCATACTTAGGGTATTTACATTTACAATGGGTAACAGGGTAGTGAGTCTAGTAAAAGATGCACTTGTAACGTGCCCCTTGGTGACTGATTTACACCCACAGTGGTTCTAAAAATATATGTCCCTATTACATTTGGTATTGGATTAAATGCCTTAATAGGAATGAGTTTAATGTAACACTGTTAATGATTTTGATAACCAAAGGGCAGAGGCGTACATGGTGTGAAGAGAGACCAACCCCTGATGTGAGCAGAGCCAGCTTCATGGGAAACCTGATCCTGATCTTTGTGCCACGGAAGGTGAGGCAGAAGGGTGGATTCTGGATGTGCAGAACTTGTGTCCTCTTTCGTTGACAGCTGCAGGGAGTGATAAAGGATTTAGTCATCACAGAGCACCATTGACTCGTCTGCTCAAATCAATGAATATTCCCATTTCCACTGACTCATTTAACACGAAAAAAGGTCACATGTCAAGAAAGAGGGAGAGAGTGGGTAGGACAAGAATTTTAATTATGAGGTTTACCAATATATCTCTGAAACAGTAAATATGGTCTAACTGTAGAAAGTCTACATCAGGAAAACAGTTAATTCACTCTGCAACTGAATTTAGTGAAAGGTTGATTAATCCAAAGAAATGCTAAAATTATAGTACTTTTTATCTTTGATATCAATGGACTTTGATGCACAGTAGGGTCTTTCTCCAAAGTGCCCTATTAGCTGAGATATTTAAAACAAGAGTATACGCAGAAAGTCAGCAGCAAATTTCAGAGCAAGATATAGGTTCCCAGTCTCCATCATGTAAAAGTCTAGCAATTGCACTTTCTTGAGTTTTTGGCAGTTGCTGTTGCCATACGCACCATTTGAAGGTGACTCTGGACTTTTCTCTGCATACCAGCGTTTACTCCTGCATACACTTCAGCTGATGCTTCACAGATGCTTGGGGAGGATGAAGATGACTTTCAGTTTGGGGCCTGTGCTAGCCCTCTGCTTGGCTACATGGAAGGACTTGGGTTCAGAATATCTTGAAGTCAGTTGATTGTTGCTGGTGACCTGGGCAGCATCTCAGAGAAGCTGCACTGGGATGCATCAGTCAGTGACTCATACCAACCTGAGATGCTCGCTGATCCCACTCAGCTTCATGGCTCAAAACCCAGACCAGTCCTCAGATCATGACATTGATTCTGCTCCTCTGATTTCTCTGTTCTCTACAGTGGGTTGTCAGTAACAACGAGCCATTCATGGGCACCCAGTGAGCTACTCAAGCCTAGGAAGATGGCTGCAGGTCCTGCAGGCAGCTGGCCATGCTCCCGTCCAGATATTCTCGGGAATGTGGAATTATTTGAATCAAAGGGAAATAAATCTTTTGCAAATGTTAATACAAATGACTGTGGGAAGGGCTTGGTGCTAAAAGAGAGGCTGAAAATTCTTGGTACCTACTGAGCTATTTTTTGGCAGGGATAATACTAGGTTGCTATGGGAATGATGAAGACAAAATAATAGTCATCTTTTTAATGGTTGCTCACCCTGTGGCATCTTCAACTGCCCTAGGTTGAGAAGACCTCTGTTTGAATCATTTTGACTACTCTTGTTTCATGTTGTATTTCTTTTTATCTTGTTCTAAAGTTTGCAAACACCTCTCTTTAAATCAGTCCATGAATCCAGCTGCACCATATTGTCTTTGAGCATAAAGGAACCATTACTTCTGAAATTTATGTTTTTGATTATATGCTTTTTGTGTCATAGGTTTAAATTAGAAGAGGTGCAACCTGGAGATCAGAAATGTGCATTTTTTCTGATGGGACAGAGAAAAACTGTGTAGTCTGGGGCAAAGGCCAGCTGACCTGGGCCAAATCTCCCCTGTGCCACATCTAGTCATGTTACCTAGGAGAGGCCAGTAAACATCCCTGAACTAGGTTACTCTATTTGTATAATGGAACTAATTATGCCATCACTGAGGTGTTGTGAGCCCTTCAGATAATGTATGTAAAGTCCTGTTACAGGGATTATGAATACCTGGCAAATGTGATGCCAATTCCTCATTGTCTGTCTATGGCAGAAATCAAAACTCAGTTCTTTATCTTAAGCTTAAAGGCAGCTGCAGACTCCACACAATGTTCCAGGTAGCCACTACCAGCCCATCAGAGCTGGCAGGTGAGATTTACCAAAGCACAAATATCTGGGACTCAACAGACGCTCAGTAGGCAGTAGCTCTTACTATTCTTGACTCGTATTATATTAGTATCATTAACAAGAAGCTGTAGATACAATAGCAGAAGACACAGACAACTGTTTTTCGCTTTTCCCATTGTCATTCAGCTTGTCTCCAGAATCAGCAGCACTAGGTACAGGTGATCACTCACCTGACTTAGGAATACTGCTCTCTGATCTTCCTATAAATCTGGCCCCTTCCTCCACCTACTAGCTGGTTTCTCTTTAGCTTGCTCACCTACAAATATAGGAGTGTCTCAGGGCCTTTTATTTTTTTTTCAAAATCTACTTTCACTAGATGATCTCATTTGCTCCCATGGTTTTCTTTCAGTATCACCCATACATTAACAATACCAACATTTATATCTCCAGGCTGGATCTCTGCTCTGAACTCTATATTCAGTTGCATTCTTGAGACACATATCATAGGTTGCGTCTGTTATAGGATATGCCTATTAATTGGATATGCATTAATAGGTAACTCTAGCCCAACAAGGCTAGGACCAAACTCCTGATTCATAACCTCCTCTGCTACAACCCAGACCTACTGCTCCCATAGTCTTCCTCATTGTGGAAAATGGCTGTTCCAACCAAAAGCTGCTCAAATGGAAAAACAATGAAGCCATCAATTCTTCTCTTTTCCTCATGCCCCATATCCAATTCACCAAGAAATCCTGTGAGTTCTACATCCCCAAATCATACTATTTCTTACCACCTCTACCACTACCATCACAGTTCAAGCCACCATCATCTCTCACCTGGATTACTGTGATAGCCGGTAACAGGCTACAATTGTTTTTCAACACATAGGCAAAGTGATTCCTTTAAATGGAAATCAGATCATGTCGCTCCTCTCTTCCACACCATCCAATGGCTTTCCTTCTCACCTGAGAACAAGTCAAAATGCCTCCAGTCCTCTATAAGGCCCCACACGATTGGCCTCAACCTCTTTCAGACATCATCTCTTTCCACCAACTTCACTCACTCTGCTCTAGCCAAAATGGCCTTGTTGTTTGAAGAATATGCCACTCCTGCTTAAGGCCTTTGCTCTGTTGTCTCTCTGCTTGGAAAGCACTTCCTCCAGACATATAGAAGTTTGCTTTCTCATTTCTTTCCTTTTCTGATGATCAGCAAAGTCAACTTAAATATTAAATAGTAACCACCATTGCCTACCTCTTTAGCAGTCCACCCACTGTCCTAATTCCCCTGATTCTTATATCCTCCAAGGCATATATCAACATCTCACATATTTTGGCCTTCCTTGTTTGTTTTTTAGAATGCAAAACAAAGAGGACAGGAAATTTGTTCCTTGCTGTATCTCCAGCATCAAGAAAGTTCTAGGCACATAGGAAGCAATTTTTGTCAAACTATTAAATAAATGAAACAAATAGCTCTAAAACTTGAGTCTTTTTGACTTACTATTTGAATGGTTCTCTACAGGACCACCTAGGATTTATACAAGTTCATATATTTGTTTAATTTTCAGCAACACTGTCATCTCAGTATATTTACCACTAAGAGTAGAAGACTGACACAGCCACTGTAACTATGGGTAAAAATATCTTTGTTTACTGAAGTGTTTCAGTACCTAATGTGTTTACTTGGGTAAACAGACAGAATACAGCATGGGAAAATGCCAGATGCTTTTAGTTGATCTCCTTGAGGCTGACCAGCTGTGGGTGGTTATAAAATACAGACAGATATTTAAAATTGCCTGGGTGCTACTTGGGTGTGTTGGCACTGGGCTGGGCTTAGTTGATGGCCCCTGAATTTCTATGAGGAGTGCTACTCTGGTTGTGAAGAAAATGTGGATTTTTAAGCCTAATTGATATACTTATTTATGTAAGAACATGTGAAAAATGTCAATAGCCCATTCTCATGGGATTGAAGAGTAGTAAAGCCTGCTGGCCGGGGTTTGGGGCAGGGGAGGAAGGAACCAAAGCTTCCTCTGAGAGGCATAAACATATGGAATTTAGTCCGACTAAATGCCTGCATGATCTCAAAGTAGTCATGAAATTTCTTTGGGCCTCAGTTTCATTCTCAGTGAAGTGAGGAACTTTGAATACATTATTGATAAGGTCCGTCCCAACCCTGCCTTCAGGTGGTACCTGAAAAGCCTCAGAGTCAGACTCTCAGATGTAACTTCCATGTAAATTGGCAATCTCTCTGAGGTCCAGTCTCTTTTTCTGTAAAATGAAGAGGTTTGGCTAAAACAGACTCAAAGATTTTCCCCCAATTTAACATTCCTTGCTTCTATTGTGCTTTTGGAATTTTCCCCTTACTTTGGTGAAATTAAATGTCCTTTTTTTTTTCTTTTTGCTTGAATTTTTTTCTTTCTTTTTTGATTTATTTAAGGTTGTCTCTCTCTCTCAAACACACACACACACATATACACACACACACAGTGTGAAGCTATGTCACATCCTTTCGTAGATGTAGTGTGTGTATTTTGCTGTTGGTGAACATTAACTCTACCTTGAGTCAGTGTGTGGAGCAGAGATGTAATCCTGTGGTTTGTTTTGTGCTCTAAACTTGACAATGAGAGGACAGGAAATGTTCTGATTTTTAGTGATGAAAAATGCTGAAGTCTGTCTTTAGCCTCAATTCTGGTCAATTCGCACTGGAAAACTGCAGTATTTTTAAACTATGTATTTCCTCTTCTCTTACTTCCCATTCCTTTGGCTGGTTTTAGGGTATTTGGTGAATGACTCTGGCCCAGAAGCAGTCAGCTGAACTACTCAAAGCTGGTCACACCTGTGTCTTACCTTTGTGCCTCAGTTTCTACAGGTGCAGGGAGATGGAGGAAATAGAATCTGCTCCATCCTTTTAGCACTATGTTTGAGATTTCCTGATATAAGCCTCTGCAAAAGGGACTGAATGTTAATGTTTAGCAAATGTGTGTTGGGGCAGGGCTCTGGAAAGATGCTTATCATGTCTGCAATCCTTTCTAACAAACTTTTATAGGTGGAAGCTCTTTCTTTGAGAAGAATGATTGGACTGGAAAAATGATGGAATGGCTCATTAATTATGGGTTTGAATCTGATTTTTGACCAACTTAACATCATTCTCACTTTACAAAGCAGGGCTCTACA